TAGTGAACGCCCGCTCCATGAGGACAGCGGTATGCAGCACCAGCGGGGTGCCACAGCAGCTCTGAGGGGTGTCCGGACGCCAGGCCCTGAGGCAGCTCTCGAGCCCCGCCGCCGCCCCAAGTTCGGGGTCCCACCACATCAGCCTCAACGCCGGGGTCCCCACTGCGGCCGGGAAGCAGGCAGGGGCAGCTGGGGGTGGGGGGGGGACTGGACTGGACGGGACGGGGCGGTGAGGCGGGCCCCGGTCAGCGCGGCGCACGGGGACCGTTGGGGCCGCGCGGTAGGGTCGCTCACACTCACTCACAGTGGCACCATCCGAGGTGGCAGCACCAGTGCAGGCGGAAGCAGCGGCCGTGGCTGTGCGTGGCGCAGAGCGAGAGCCCGTCGCAGGGCTGGAAGTCGGGTCTGCCCGCGCAGCTGCGGGCCAGCGCCTGAGCCTCGTCCAGCTTCTCGCTCTTCGCCGCCGCCGCCGCCCCGCTCATGGCGCCGCCGCTCCGCCCGCAGCCCCCGCGCCGCAGCGGCCAGCAGGAGGAGGAGAAGGAAAAGAAGGAGGTGGAGGAGGAGGAGAAGGAAGAGTAGGAGGAGAAGGCGCCGAGCCGCAGCGGGGACCGCCCGCCCGCCCAGCGCCGCGGGGGACAGCGCCGCGGGCAGGGCCCGGCCGCCCCGCCCCGCCGGCTCCGCCCGTCCTTCAGCACCGCCCGCAGCCGGGACCGGTAACCCTGGGGAGCCCAGGCTGTGAGCTCGGGGGCCGCCCTGCGCACGGGGGTTACACGGAGAGCACCTGCCGCAGTGAGCTTGGACCCGCTGTGAGATTTACCTGATTTTCAAAGGTCTCCTGTAGGTGCAGGAGCACACGTGCGCCGGTAGAGACCAATCCTGGCTGGGCCAGCCTGGCTCCCAGCAGAGGTGAGCAATGCCGGCAGGCCACGGTGCCAGGCACTTAGCTCATGGAGCATCCATCCCTTGCTTGCCTCTGCCATGGTAGGGCGTGAAGAGCTCCAATCTGGACCCTGCCTGTCATGTTAAATGATATCCAGGCATCTCTGCATCTGAACAGCAGCCTCCAAGGAGCACGAGAAGGAGGCAAGCAGGCTCGATTATGTGACCAGGTACAAGTGATCTGAGTGTTCCAAGTGTGTGGCACTTGGCGATTTTACCAGATGGCATGGACAAAGATCACCCCTGCGAGTCAACGAGCCAGGAGACTGAGCTGTACACGTGGGCTGTGGCAGAGGCAGTTGTTGTTTTATTCTTCTTGCTACTTATTCTCAGGTCATCTAATGAGGAAACTATTTCTTTCTATGCATGCAGTAATTTTAAAACAGATAACCTTTGTCTTCCATTTCTGTAAAATATCGGTAGATACAATTTTGATTAATAATGGAAGTGTATTGTTATTCTCTGACAATCATATCTTCAGGCCAGTATTAAAGTTTCGATTTATCTTGAGCAGGGGCAACATGATTTGGTTTCCTAAGTGTAGTGGTGGGCTTGTTCCCCTGTCATGTTTGAAAGTAAACTGGTTTTGTTGCCCCTCTGCTCAGTAGTAGGAGAGTTGAATTCAGCTTTCTGTTAGAGCAGACCTGTCAGTTTCATAGTCATTTATCTTTGTACAACACCCGATAGCTCTTTGCCAGAAGTAGTGAAAAAATACTCATGTGTTCTCCAGAATATTCCCAGACAGTTCCTTTGGGGTCTATCCTTGGGATAGATCCCAGAGGTGTCCCCATGGTGTCCCCCCTCCTGAAGATGCACTGAGAGAATCATTTGCTTCTTGCCAACCAAAAGAGCTGAAGAACAATCAAGCTGCAGGTGTATTGCTGTGATCAGCTATGTGCTTCATGGGTAAAAACAAGGAATATGGATCATAACTACAGGGCAGAGAGATGCACTGAGACTTTGGCCTCTGGCCATCGTCCCTGCCTGGCAGCACAGACCAGCTCCCTGCAGTGCTGCTGGCCCTGGGACGTTTCACTGCTTGTACCAATTCTGAGCCACAAGGCTGAGACCCACCAAAACAACACATACAATTGAGCAGCTCCTAACCCATGCACTACTCTACCCTCAGTCAGGCTGCTGAACTCGTTAGCTGTATGGATGTACGCAGCACTCATGCTGCACACCCACAGCACTCTTTTCCCCCCAAAGCAAAGGAGCTGGAGGATGGAGTTTAATCGGCTGGATGGTTAAATGGAGGGCTCATTGGGTGGGGAAGTCTCTGGCCTGTGTCACAAGGGAGGCTGCACAAAACAGTCCTGCTGGTCCCTTCTGAACTGAGCCCCAGAGTGGGAAGGCTGGAATGCTCACCTGCGGTATACCAGCCTCCTTTCAATGCAACGCACATGGGCAGTCAGCACATACCTGGTCTGCTGCTGCCCTTCCTGCTCTTGCATGGTTTCAGGGAGTCTTTCACTCCCTCCTGCAGTATCTCAGTGCTAGGTGAGCCCTGGGCATACACAGCTGCATCCCAGCTTACGCCCTTGGGATGTGCAAGTGGGGGCTGCAGCCTCTCCCTCTCAGCAGGCTGGCTGCCCATGGTTCAAGGGAGATCTCTGCACAGGCTAAATGGATGTTTCTGGGGCTGGTTTTGATTGCTGGGATAAAAGCAATCAGAGCTGGCTGAGGGCTGCAGGGACCCATGAAACTAGCCTAACTGGGCAGGAGATGGTTGCCTAGCTGCACAGAGCAGGGGCTTTGAACCTTCCTCAAACCGATCATCAGGACTGAGGGAACTTCACAGGCCTATGGATTTTAAATTCCTCCAGGGTTAATTGCACTGGAAAGTGAGTTTTCCAAATAAATTCTCAAGGCTTACCTTTGTTTTGCCAAAATCCCACTGAAATCTGTACACATTCAGGACCTTGCTCAGCTGTTTGCAAGCCAAGAAGAAACTGACTGCGAAATCAGGTGTTTCTTTGACATTGTCCTGTTGTTGTCCTGTTCCCTGGAGTCCCCAGCAGCAAAGAGAGGATGCAGCTGAGCTCCCACGAGACCCCTGGCCGAAGGAGAACTGTCTCTTCTATGTGCTGGTGTGGAGGTCTCCCTCTCTACTGCTGTTTCACCTTCTGAGCTGCTCCCAGACCTAGTCTGTGGGCTGTAAGATCACTTTCTGTTAAAAAGAAATGAAATGGGTTACAGAAATGGTGTATACGCTTCTGACAAACCTCAAGAGCCACAGCCAATTCGGACACACACTGCAGGACAGTGCTTCTTAGCACACCATAAGGCAGGGAGCTTTTTGCCTCCCTTTGAAGACCCAATGCTGCAGGGGATGGTGATCAAAGCTAAAGCAATTCTCTCCTTTGGTGCACTCCCATTCTTTACTGTTTCACAAAATGCCTGTGGTTGAGCAGTTAATGGAGGCATCTGCTGCACTGGCAGAGTTCACTGGCTTAATTAAAGACATCTAACAATTTTGCAGCTGCATGGAGGAGACCATAGGTACTTGCAGGGCTGGAACCAAATATCCTCAGCACTGAAAGCTGGCAACCCCGCTATGCAGAAAGCTTAGATGTGCAGCCAGACACTCACATGAAAGTAGAAGCAGGTCCCCAAGATTAAGAATGAACTACAGCCAGCTTGCACTGTGTGTCACCAACAACTGCACTGCCTCAGTTCATGCTCACATAGCTTAGAATGGTCAGACTTGCAACAAGTGACATTCCTGGCTCTGGATGGTTTTAGGGATGTAGCAGAGATGGTTTTATCCGGAAAGCATCTTTAACAGGTATTTTCTCACTGAGTGAAACTAGTTAGCTGGTTTAAAAAGACAGCTGGGAAAACTAATCCTGTACCAAGAGGTTATGAAGTCCTCTCTGCGCGGGGCTGTGTTTTCTCCCTGTTAAATGAAGAAACGTGTCACTCATATTTCTGGTATCACTGCATATTTGAGCCAGTCAGGGACTTTGCAAGGCGGTTATTTTAACAACTTACCCAAGAAGCTCATGGATAGGCTGGTGCTTTCTGATTAGATTGCCTGTCAGCAGACACCTAGGGCTTGGAATCAGGCTGCAGAGCATGGGCACTGCCCTGCAGGGCTGAGGGCAGGGGAGCAGGCCAGTGGAGCAGGACTGCCACACACTCCTGCCATCAGCAGCGAACCTCGTGCCCGCCCTCTCAAAGCTACAAATGCAACCTCTCAGCGCAGCAACGTCACCGATGGCTGGACAGGACGATCAATGCTGTGCTGCTTTGATCAATATGAATTTACAAATGAGCTTCTGTCAGGAGAGACATTACTAGAGTGAACAGCCTCTATTCTCAGTAATTTCAGGGTAGATGAGAAGGGGAATGGGTACATCAAATGCACCAGTACAAAAGTGCTGCAGGTGAGGAGAAGCATTCTGGCCACAGGGCTGGTGGGTCTCAATATCCTGAGACCAGCATATCTCCAACAGAGAAAGGGCATGCCCCCTCCTCCAGAGCCTGATCCTGCTGTAAGGGGAATTGCCCTTTCCCAACTCATCTCCAGCCCAGGTGAGCACTACAGCGTGAGAGACTGGAGAGAGGATGTTAGCCTGGGCAGCACATCGTGTCCAGAGCTGTCCTGTGGATGACATGACAGCCACCAGCACCAGCCAGTGCTGTTGTGTAACATGTCACGCGGAGCCTGCTTGCATGGAAGTAGTGCTTCACCTTTCAGCAAATGCTGGGCTGCTCTCGGCTGTGGCACACAAGTGATTCAGAGGAAACCACAGCTCTTTGCTGAGCCTGGAGTTATCACTTTCTCTGGTCCTGGAGGAAAATCCTCCCTGGAAAAAAGGCACTTGGTTTGGCTTGTGACTTCTGAGAGGTTTCCTGCCCTCAATTTCGTACCCTCGCCCACTGAAGGACAGGGGCAGATAAAGGGTAAAATAAGACCTATTTAGGAAAAAAAAAAAGCATGCAGCCTTTTCAGATGCAAACTCCTCCACAAATGGGAAAAATATCTAACTCTACCATGTAGAGAAGCGATGGAGAAAAAAGAACAGCTATCCCATATGATACCTTATAATCTGTCATTAGATATTTAAAGCAGTTTTATTAAAATAAAAAGCAAAAGTTAAACATCCAACGTCCCCGAGAAGAGAATCCACACCAACCTATTCCCCACACAACCCATCTGTGGAAGATACATTCACTAGACATAGAAATGGGAGATTTTGTCCCAGAGTATCAAGCCTGGAGTGAGTCTGGCACACTTTCACCCTGCTCTACTCTCTGATTGAGACCTGCCACCTCCCTGCCTGTCTGCAGCAATGTTTCTGCCTGCACAGCTCTTGAGCCATGCACTTCTCAGCATGTCCTCTGCTCTTGTAGAAACCCGGTAAGTACCATGCCATGTCTCAGTCTGGTCAACTAGAGCATGCTGATCCCCAAGACCTGGTAACTGTAGGCAGGCAAGATGGGGAGAGTGATCCAACACATAGCCACATCTAAAGAGATGCCAGAAGATGTTTCTGCTTGGACAAAGTCAGGTGGGGATAATGAAGATGGAGGATGGATTCTGGATGCAGAAGGCCAGTTGTGAGCCAACACCACAGGACAGGTTAGTCAGGTCAATGTGTTTGTGGTTTCTGTGTCATTTATTAGGATCTCCTCTGCAGCAAGGAAGAGGGACAGTACCAGCCCTGCCCCTTTCTCTCTGCCCAAACATGTTCTCTCCAATTCATTTGACTTCATCTCTTCATGCTGCACCCCTTGTGCCATCTCTCTCCCAGCAGCAGGAAGGCAACAGCCTCCAGCTGGCTCTCTGGGAGAGAGCCAGGGAATCCAGTGGCGGTGGGCTGCACAGGAAAGACCTGAACAAACTGGGAAGTAGATTTAAGACAGGATCCAGTAGATCAGCTGGTCTTGGGTGAACTGTGATCACCTCTCTCTTGCCTCCCACAGTTATTTGTTTTGTAGGCTGTGGATGCTGCTCCCTCACTTCCACAGACTAGAAGAGATGTACATCTGTGAAGGCCTGAAGGCAGAACAAAATAAGAGGGGCATTTACACAGCGATGTGCAAAGGTGGGTGAGGCTGGTGCTGAGAAGGAAGGGTGGGTGATGGCAGTGGCTACCTGCAGCAAGAGGGGAACTGAAAGCAATCATTGGCCAAACTATTCTCTGCAAATGCCCATGAAGGCCAGTGACATTGTTTATGAGCATATAGCACTTTGGTTTTGATTGGAAAAGACAGTGCAATTACAGCATCTGTTTCATGAGATCGGCCTCCATTGAATGTGTATAGCAAGCATCAGTGAAATCACAGCTTGTTGCTCTGGCGGCTGAGGTAGGACATCCACTCTTTGAGGGGAGGGTTCCCCATAGCTACCAGCTTTTTTAGAAAGGCACTGGGCTGTAGTTCAGGAACATCAGGGTGGGCCTTGGAGTATTTCTGCAGCTTAGCCAGAACGCAAGGGAGCCCAACGGTGGAAGCATAGAACATGGGACCACCCCTGTGTTTTGGCCACCCATAGCCATTGATATAAATTATATCCAGGTGTTCTGGGTGTGATGCTATTCCCTCAGCCAGAACGTTAAACCCTTCATTGATGAGGGCAAACAAACAGCGCTCCAGGATTTCTTCCTGGTCTATAAAGTGGGTCTTGATGTGATGGGTATCTCTGTACTGGGACAGAAAGTTGTGAAGCCATGGATCTGGCTTGGCTACCCTGCCCCCAGCCTTTTCATACTGATACCAGCCTTTTCCAGTTTTCTGGCCAAACCTGCCATTCTCACACAGCAGATCAGGCAGTGGGCTGTAGCGATGGCCGTGCCGCTGGCGGGCAGGAGTTCCTGGAGGCAGTGAGGCCCCAGTGAGGCCCTGGTCCTTTCGAGACCTCCAGCCCACATCCAGCCCAGCAAGATCAGACATTCGGAAAGGTCCTATCTTAAAGCCAAAATCTTCAAGAACCTGATCTACTGCTTCTGGGCTGCCTCCTTCCTCTAAAAGAAAAACTGCCTGTTGTACATATGGAAACATCATTCGATTCCCAACAAATCCAAAACAATTCCCTACCACCACACCAACTTTTTTCAGTGCTTTGGCTAGCTGCATAGCAGTAGCAATGGTGGTGGGGGATGTGTGATGGCCATATACTATTTCTAATAGCCTCATCACATGAGCAGGGGAGAAGAAGTGCATGCCAATGACCTGCTGCGGGCGGCTCGTGGCAGAAGCTATCTCATCAATGTTCAGGGCTGATGTGTTTGTACACAGAAAGGCCCCTGGCTTGCAGATTCTGGACAGCTCGTGGAATATTTCCTTCTTTAGTGCCATATTCTCAAACACAGCCTCAATGACTAGATCTACATCACGCAGCGCATCAAAATTCACAGTGAACTGGAGACGTGCAGGGTTATGGAAATCCAGGGTTTTGGCACTCTGCTCCATTTTCATAGCCTCATGGTCCAAAAGGAGCATCACAGCTTTTCTTCCCATGTTCAGATACTTCAGGTCCTGCTCCAGGGCTACCACAGGGATGTTTGCTTTAACAAGACAGGTCACAATGCCTCGGCCCATTGTTCCCAGCCCTAAGGATAAAAGTGAGACAGAATCAGAGACTATGAATAGAAAATGTTACAATTAATCACTTGACAGTGGTATTTCCTGTCTATCTCCAGGATAAGATGTGGAAGCCTATGTGGAAGACTATGCACACATTCCAGTGTGTGCAGAACATGTGATACGTGTCTTCTCCTCTCAAGGTTTTACACCTAGAGAAACCAGCATTAGTTAAGAGTAAGAACCTAGGGATCAAAGACAGGAGACCTGAGTTTCAGCTTCAACCCTTTTACGAACTTCTAGCAGGCAGTTTCACAACCCTGAGGTTACCAGTGCCTCTGAGTTCGTGTGAGATGGTCCCTTATAGGCACTCACAGAAAATTAGTGTAAGCAAATACACCCCATACAGAGCATTTGATATCAGCAAAGCTTAGACAATTGGTTTCTCCCTCCTCCTTCCAAGCTTCCTCTTTGCTTCTCTCCTCTTCTCCCTCTGCACTTCACTGTGTGATCTTTGAAGCAAAGAAAATTCATCTGCTATTTCTGTAAAGGCCCTGCTACAGTGATCTGCACTAAACTTTGTCTCTAGTGTCGTTTATGTTTCTCCTTGCCAGGTCAAATGGGATGGAAGCAACACAGTGTTCTTCATCCAGATTTCAAAATCTTCTATCTCCTATCTCCTTTTTAATCCCTCTGGAACATCAGTAGCCTTTTGCTTACTGTTTGCACTGTATTATCAGGCATCTCTGCCCACTGGGCCCCCCACTGGGCCCACGGGCACTAGGAGGACAAGTCCTCCAACACAGGCCATTCCCAACTTTGAAGATTCTCAAAGACACAGTCTGCCTTGTCCAATCACACAGTTCAGGTGCTTGCCCAGAATTCCTGTAACTGAACATCCATTCAAGGTGTACTTTTTTTCTCCAAGATCCATAAATGTACTGCTACGAGCTCATACCCCAGGAAAACCAGTGTGGAGTTTAGTGGCTTGATCCCTTCACCCCTTCTGGGCCCTTCCACCAGCTCTGCCCTCTGTTACATTAAATGAAGCTGCATGCTTACACTTTCCTGTGATACATGACCCACACTATTTATCCTGCTCTCCAGTGATGGAGGCTTTTTGGACTAAGTTAATACAAACTAGTGAGAGAAAGCCAGCACAATTTCACTAGTTTTAAAAGTGCAAAGCATCTGAATGGGAGGATTATGACTATCCTAAATAAAGCAACAAACAAAGCAGAGGTTTGTTATAATTCCGTAAAAATGATTATATTTTTAATCCCAGGTTTACAAATGAAGTCAGCTAAACAAATAAACAGAAACAAAGGGATTAAAAAAATTGTCTAAGCAGCTTTGTAAAGATGAGCTGAAATTATGTCATCATCTAAGCAAGTTCCAACAACCAAGTTCAAACAAGGTGGGTTTTCCTGCAAGCCACACACCCTTGGTTTAGTTCTGTCCACCCTCAGCATGTGTACACACAAGGCATTAAAACATTCCCTGCTTAGCCACAATAAGACATCAATACCTGGCAGCCTGCTTATAAGCAATTACACTGCCAAGCAAATGCTGAAGTTTCTTGCTAGGAAATTAGATTTGTTACTTCATAATCAATTACTACTAAAAACTGATTTGAAAATAAAACTAGAGTAACATAAATCAGTCCTTCGTATTTCAGTGTCCATGCTTTGCTGACCTGAAAAACCCAAACACTTAGCTCCTCTCACTGTGCTCAGTACTCAAAGCCTTAGACATGGTAGGTACAGTTCATGAGAGAGCTTTTTTCCCCGTCGTTGGTGAGCTACATGAGCTGCTTTCTTCTCAGAGAGTGCAGGAGGGTAAGTCACCACCTCGTGTACACACACCAAGCCCAGTCCCCTCTTTAAGGCTCTCTTTAGATAGCAAGCTAAAGTGTTTGTAGTTTGACATGGCTCCCTTTTGAAGTCTCTTACTTTCCAGGGTGGAGACCTCGGGTTTCTCCCTAGGCTTTCCCCCTAGGCTTTCCAAGCTCTTGTAAACAGATAATGCACACATCCTCGGCCTTATCAACTCCTGTTCCTCTTTGTGTCAATTCCATGACTGAAATCTCAGCAGTTCTCTCACAATATGAACACTTTGCTTCTTCCTAAATCCAAACCTCTTCCATAAGCAGAGGTTCTCCAGCCTAAGTTCTGCAGTGGTGCTAACCATTTGGTTCCATCCGTATGTAGTATGAGTACTCCCACCTAGGTTTTAGCCATCCAATGATAGACAGGAATATATGCTTGTAGTACTTCATTTTCTAGGCCACAGGAACAGGCTTATAGATAAGATACGAGCTTGCCAAGCTTGTTTCTGACCTAGAAATGCTGTCTCTCAACTTACTTACAACATAACTCTTCAGTGGCATGTATGAAATGACATTTAATGAAGCTGGCAGAGAGAGTAATGAAAGCTCCAAGGGTTTTGTTACATTAGAGTCTGCACAGCATGACTCCCATGGAAATATTTTCTAAAACTGGGCTATAAAGCTAAGGAGTGATTTGGATATGCAGCAGGGAAAGAAGCATTTCAGAGGACTCCCCTTTTGAATTTTTTAAAGTCAAGTTATCTTGGGGAAGCATATATTAGAGCAGAAAAAAATGGTGGGGAATCTCTGGGACTTAGATGTGTAGAAGGCTACAGAAGAAAGAGAAAGGGAAATGTCACATGCTCAGCTCAGATCACACAGGAACTACTGCAGAACTGCTACTATATGTTCCATTTTCTTACTCAGTAGCGCTTTCTCTTCTCCCAAACCATAAAAAAACACCCCTATATTATTATCTTTCATGCAGGGAACAGTTTTCAGAGCTGTGCCCTCTTCCATGCGCAAGGCACATCTTTCAAAGGAAGACTGAAAACCACTTCAGGAAAAAACAGTGTCTAGCCATCCTGCATTTGGTCTTTTGTTGTGAAATGTAGCTTTGACACATAAATAAAACCACAGTTGAACTCATGCAATTTCAGGCCAAATCTGGAGATGACAAATCCACTTGCTAGACAAGCTGAGTGAATAATAACTGTTAATTATTGATCTGTCACATGAGGTACTCAGAGTACAAAAAATCATGCAAAATTAATTGAAGGACTGGAAAGACAAATTTCAAACCAAAAGATCTGCAAATATGTACAAAGCAACTCACGTACAGTCACACACACTAGAGAAAAACATATTCTGAACTATAATGAATATTTGGACTTTACAATGCCAGGCTGTGGAAATAGTACTTCATAGATTGGTAAAAATATGCAAAGACTGTTCCAGTTTTCCTGATAAAAACAACAATGAGCAGTTGGCAGTGGTGGACTGCTGCAGGCTGCTGCTGCAAAGTGCTTCTTTCTCTGTTTCAGGGTATTAATTTCAAGCAGAAATAATGGGATACTCATGGCAAGCAGGGAGCTATGGGACAGGAGAAGGGACAGAGAAGAGCTCTGCTTCTGCAAGAGAAGGAACCAGAGAAGGTGGAAAGAGATGAGAGCCAAGAGTTTAGAACAAGAAGCAGCAAGTGAAGTAGGTGATACTGCAGGTGGCTGAAGACATTCAAAGACAGCTAGGCTAAGAGCAGGAGGGAAACCATATAACTGGGTGTTACCCACTTAGAAATCTTTCAGCAAGCAAACTGCAGACAAAGGCAGCTACTGGGAAGCACGCACTGCACAGGGATGGTTGCCAGTTCATCATCAATGCTGTGTATCAAGTATGCCCACAGAAATAATAGATCATCCTTGATGCTGAATCTACATTAAGACATGGTTGGCAAGCCATGGGCCAGCTCCCTCCAGCAAGTTCTTGCTGATATTAGAAAGGCAGAAGAACCACAACGCAAGGCTCCCCTGGAATTCATGGCACTGCTTCCACACTCTAGGTCCCCTAGGCATATGAAAATGTACCAAAGGAGGAGGAAGTCAGTGTGATTTTTGCAGTTGCTTCCCATCGTGCAGTGAAAAAAGATGGAAGCAGCAACATAATGCAACATGGTCTTAGTGAAACAGCACAGCACTGTCTATTGGAAAATGGGGTCTGTGTGATTTCTGACTAGACAAAATTTATGCGACATTTTTCTCTGACTCCCCTTCTCTGCAGTAAAAATAGAGAGGCCCTGGATCACATAGGTAGGCTCAGTACCTGCACAGATGAGCCACACTGTTTCAAAAGGTGTTAGTCTCTCAAAAACCATCCCTAAGATTTTGATTTTTGATGCTTCAAGAATGTATTTAAGATCCAGAATGTAAAGTCATGAGATACTGTACAGAATGGTACTGGCTGGAGAATGGCTTTTTGTTACAGCATCCTGAAAGACAAAATCCAATTGTGCTGGCATATTCTACACCTGTCACTAACAGACTTGCAATTTCAATGATCTCAAAAGGAAAACAGGAGGAAAACTTTCTAAGGGGAGGGGAAAAAGCACAGGTGGAAGAAAGGAGTGACACAAAGCAGTGACAATATGGTGTGGGATTCAGAGTTAAAAGGAGGTGATCAATAACCTCGAAAATAGGAGAAGTCACCTATCAAATAAAGTATAACATGAACATAGCATAAATAGTATAGCATAAACAAAGCCAGCTATAACTATAAGCAGTGATTCAGAAAGGGCATTAGGATTCTTGGTAAGTGTCAAGGCCCTCAGTGCACTGACAAACTTTAATGACCCTGACCAGCTACACCTGGAGCCTTCACCCAGGTGAAGCATGGCCCACGGGCATCAGAGATCTATTTAAGCTCAGACCCAGACCTTTGCTCCTTTCTTAAGATATGCTGGAAGAGTTCTGGTGCCTCACTGTGGGTGTGGAGGCTACAGATACTGTTGAGCCAGATCTCAGCTTGCACACTGGCTTCTCAACTTTGCCTCGGACCTGTACCATCACGTGAGCTTTGTTTGATCATCTATACTTCTACTAGATACTGGCCATGGTCTCTGGATCTGCCCTGCTTGATTCTGCTCAGCTATTGTAAATAATTGATACAGCAGTGGGTTGTGCTGTCATCCAGAGGGAGAAATGGGTTGATAGGAACTTCAAGAAGTTCAGCAAGGGGAAGTGCAAAGCCCTTGACTTTGGAAGGAAGTAGTTTTCCTATGCACCAATGTATGGTGTGGGCTGACTCTCTGAAAAGCAGCTCTGCACAAAAGGATCTGGGGATCCTGGGGGACACCAAGTTGACTATAAGCAGCAATATGTTCTTGTGGCAAAAAAGACCAATGGTATACTAGGCTGGTTTAGGAGAAGCCTTAGTGGCGGGTTGAGGGATATGATCCTTGTACCCCTCTTAGCACTGGTGAGACTGTACTTGGAGTACTGTGCCCAGTTCTGGGCTCCCAGTACAAGAGTAATTTGGAGCTTTTGGAGTTAGTTCAGTAAAGGGTCACTAAGATAATTAAGGGATTGAAGAGTGTCTCATGAGGAAAGGCTGAAGAGCTGTGACACCAGCCTAAGGAAGGCTTGAGGAATCTCATCAATGTATACAAATACCTGAAGGGAAGGTGTAAAGAGCCAGACTCTTTTCAGTGGTTCTTAGTGACAGGCAATGGGTATGAACTGAAACATGTGAGCTTCTATCTGAACATCTTTTTTTTTAATGCGGGGTGACTGAGCACTGGCACAGTCTGCCCATAGAGGTTGCATCCTTGGAGATATTCAAAAGCTGTTTAGACATGGTCCTGGGCAACTGGCTCTAGATGGTCCTATTTGAGATGAGAGGTTGCACAACAAGACATTCAGCTTCAAAGGTTCTATGGTTCTGTCCCCCTTGGAGGTGTTATTGCCACTGGCTCCCCATCCCTGGTGTGCAGCTGCTTCCTGTCAGTAGTTAATTAACAGGATGTATTGTACATCGCTAATATGAAAGTTGGCTGTTACCTTTAGCATACTAAGTAGAAAAAAGGAAGAAACATATTGGTACCTGGTCTTAGCATAATTATTCCTGGAATACTGTTCCCACTTTGGCTGTGTGTGTTTTATGTAGTGCTGAAAAATTAGGGCAAGTTCAGAGTCCTGAAAATGCTCACAGTGTGACAGATCATACTCTGCAGCAAAAGTATCAAAGCACTTAGTTTACTTATTCTGCAAAATGTATGTGTTAAATTGAGCATTGTTTGTAACCAGCTACAAAACCACTGAAATTGGGGGTAGAGTTTGGCACAATTTCAGACCAGAATTCAGAAACCTGCCTGCATTTCTCCACAGAATTCCCTCTAGCTCAGTTACACCACCAACATAAGCAGATAGGATCTAAACAGCCCTTTTGGCTAAATGGTCACTCTGACTCTGCAAATGTATTTTCTGCCATGGTTTATCAGGATGTAGCAGAGAATCCCCGTTCTGGTCACCTCAGCATTCCTACAAAACTCCACCACAAGCCCTTCCTGCCAAAGCACATGTTGCAGGACTGACATGTCTGGGATTTCATGTGTCTGAAGTGCTATGCTCTTCAAGCCATATGATAAACATGGCAATAATTCATGACTCTTTCTTTACCTAAATGCTGTAAGAGTCATGGATCCTTCTCACAAGAATGGTGGACCAATGTTTAAACACCATTTTGATTAAAAATACAATATGGCAGCTAATGAAGAGATGGGAACTTTTAAAAAGAAAAAAAAAAAAAATTTTGTGGTTTGAAATGAACTGTCAAAGCTCATATTAGAGTTCATGTTGAAGGGCAAGAGAGACCTGGGAAGCACCCAGGAAAGAGCTGTGTTATCTGGTGAGCTTTCTCTAAACCAGAATGGATGTTTTCCAAATGCTCCATTACTTGTCTAACGATTTTTTGAGTGCTACTATCAACAGGCAGAGCTGAAAGATAGTATTTTTTTTAATCTCAGCAGTGCATCAAAGGTTTTATTTAAATTGCTCTTATAAAAAATTAATGAAGGCATTATCTTGCTGGGCTACAAAATGGCAGGAGTGGATCCCAGTGAGATGAAATCTTCTTAAAATACAGCTGTCAAAATGTTTTTGTGTTAATACATCCCTGAGAGAGACTCTGCATACGCACTTGCAGTACAGACCTAGACTACGAGGAGAAGAATTTTGAGCAAACCTGCTTATAATGTGGAACAAAGCCGGGACTAGCACAGCAGTATTTTAAAGGGAACAGACTGCTTATGGTCCAGATGAAGCTGAAAGAACAGGCATCAGATAACAGTCTAGTAGGATGTGACTTGCTATCTGAATTTCTGAGCTTATCAATGCAGTAACGAATTCCAGCCTTGCACCTATGGAGCATCTTTGCCTGTGATGGGTACCAGTGACTTTGGCAAATGATCACTAGGGAATCCCACTTCAGCCTTCTGCCATGAGTAAAGCCCAATTATATTCATCCCACTTCCCTTCAACTCTTAAATTAGCAGCTACTCAGCTTTCCCATTCCCTTACCTATCACAGCTGCTTTGCGGATGGGCTGAGGGGAAGCACTTTTCCAAGAAGCTCCACTGGGTGTCGTCCACTTCTGCGTTGATCTTTCGGCAAAGAAAGCATACTGCAGTGCTTGTGCCTGGCCTGAGGTCAGCAGGATGTTAAACAGCTCTCGCTCCTTCCGGACTCCATCTGCAAAAGGCTGTTCTGTGGCAGCTCTGACTGCCTGGAAGCACAGCTCTGGAGCCAGACACCCGTGGGCCCGTTTCTTCACCTTCAGAAGAGCTTCACGGAGAAACGCTTCCATGTTGGGCAGTTTTGGAACTGGCTTCAGGCTGAGCCTGTGGGGTCCCAGTGGCTGGCCTGGGGGTAGAGAAATTGAGTTATGGACCAAAGCATCCAGATCTGGAAGACTATGGATGTTCAGGTGTTTCTACATAGACTGAGAATGCAGTTTGCCTATTCCTCATCAGCCCACTCCAATGGGGCTTGCATGGCACAGTGATCTGGGTCTAGAACTAAAGTGTTTGTCATTCCTCTTTAGCCTTCTGTTTGCTGTGACAATTGCAATTTTTCAAGTCCTTTCTCAGACTTCAAAAAAGCAAGATTTCAATTTCAAAGAAGTAATTCTCTCCTTTTTCTCAGCTATACAGAGTGCCTCTACTTCTCCAGCTCTCTTACTGCACAGTCCCAGCTGCCACATTCATATTGCTCCATTAGCTTCAGAACTAAAGTTTTCCTGCAGTATTGTTTAGTACTCGGTGCCGAATGGACTTTGCTAGCCAGATGGATTCCAGCCAGTGTCCTGACCCAGGCATTTATAAGAGACTGGGAAATAGACACTGACTTCAGGAGTCTTTCTATTCACTTTGGGACTAACCAAGAGCTCACCTAGTGTGAGTTGGGGAACAAATGAATAACAAGGGAGAGTTCATGCCTCTGTGTCAGCAAGGGGTGAATCAAGCGGCCACATAAATATGTGAGTCTCATTACAGACAGAGGTTGCTATGGTGATACCTAGAAAGGATTTTAATTGAGAGAATTTAGTTACATTTCAGAGGCCAAAGTCTTCTCCATCTTCTTCAGAAGTGCAAACCTTGATGCTTGCTACAAGATCTCTGATCTGTCTATACTCAGGCTGTTCCTATGCTCTTAATGGCAGCTTGCCTCAGTAAAGACCATGGAGAAACAAGAGCAGAAATTCAGGACGTATCCCCTTAATATCCCAACATTTTTATAGAGACAATTTTGTCATCACAGCCACATCTGAACTGTGAACTGTGTAGCAACGTTATTGCACTGACTGCTGCAGTTCTGCTCTCAGAAGCACCCAGGACTGCCATCAAAGAAGGGTGCTGGATGGACCCCCCTAGTGAGAACCTTATGCTGAGAAGCTCTCTGCTATACAGCCTCATTGCCCTAGCTTCTTAGAGGAGCTCTGCAACAGAAGAACACTTCCTTCAAAGGTGGCATATTGCATCCAGCTCCTTTTTCTTCCTATTGTCTGAATTAGGAAAGTTCCAGAGTTCCAGTATATCAGCAAAAGATCTGGGAGCAGGAAATCATACAGAGGATGCTGAAAAACTGGAATAATGGCAGCACTGCAATCATAGTTACTCAAAGAACATGTCCTGACCCTAGGTCTTCCTCCAAAACTGAGTTATGTTTGAGAGAAACAGAAATATGAGTTTCCTAAATGAGCCGAGACACTGATTTCCTGAAATAATGGTCTTCAGAACTCAGGCTTTTTAATTATGCCTTTTAGAGAACATAAATATGAATCCTCACTGTGTAAGTAGCTTCCCTTTTAATCACAGTTCATAAAAATGCTTTCAAATTGACAGTGAATATAATTTGTATCTGCCAGTGTTGCAGGATTTAGTCAGGATAATGTTCCTTCATTTTGGAATTCTTTGTTTCTCGCTTGAATTTGTGTTTTTAGCCTAGAAATGCTCTTTATCCACAGTCCTTTCTTTAGGACGTAAATAGTGGGTTTCATTTCATCATGAGGAAATCTTGAGTTTATCCCAGAAAGCAGATCTCATGACTGGAAAGCCACTTAAGACTGGATAGATCAAGGGTCTTCATAGGACATCTCTCATATGGAAAGGACCAGTAAAAAAGGAATACTACTGGAAGCCTTTAAGCTTTGTCTTCAGATAGTAAATACTGCTTGTAAGCACAAATAGTGATGGGAGACATGAGGCAATTCCTCAGGGTAAAAAAGAAAAGTAACACTCCTCAGGGTCCTGTAATACAACCCTTATTAGTTGCAAGCCAAATAAGGTTTTGCCAAGTATTTCTGCAGCATCTCCATGCAGTGTCTATGCTTCTGCAATCAAGACATCAATCAAGAGTCAAGGACATTTATGAACAGGAAAAAAATTATCTGTATCCAAATCTGGGAAGAAGAGATCAGTGTGGGACATGTGCAGCTTGATTGCTGAAATCAAAGCAGCAGGAATGTGAACAGTATCAAACATCTGTGCTGCAGGGAAAAGCATCATCCATGCACAGGAGCTAGCACAGACGCTTTGTTTTACTAGGGCTTGTAGTGCAGATGTCACAAAGGGCACATCAAGTCTGTAACATTTCTATCAGTGAAAGCAACATGTAAGCTATCAAATACTGTGCTATTTAAGCAATAAACCGCTCCCCCCCATTATCCCAGAGTTGTAAACCTCTGGGGTATTCTAGGACTTCCCATGCAAGAGACTGGGTTAGCCTAATGGTGGTCTTGGCACAGTGAACTGCTTGTTAATTTCAGAAACAAAGCTGAGACTGGAACCCTGCTCCTCAGGCTTAGAGTGGTCTCAGGCCTGAAGAGAACAGTCCAGTTTGTCAGACATTTCACAAGCTCTGGTTGTGTCAAAGGGGCACTTTGCTAGACCTTCAGGCTAAAGAGGGTGGCAGCCAGAATCATGAGCCCTGGAGAGAGATTAAAATGTCTTGTATTATGCATATTCCCTTGCAATGGTAACTGAAAGCCTTTCTCCATCAGGCTCCATTTAAAGCATGCAGTTACCTAACAGCACTATCTGTTACTCCTTTGGGTTCTATGAGGCTCAGAAGAAACACACGCTTCTTCCACAGTTACTCCTAGGTGGCTTACAGTAAGGAACTCAGTCATCTTTCCATGCACAGTTTAATACTCATGGGGCCTGAGCTAGTCTAAATTGAACTGATTTTCCTTGGCTCTTTGGTGCAAGCCATTGATACCTTTGCACTCTGAGAAAGATGCTAAAGGTCAATCAGCAGATGTGGTCAGAAAGCAAGGCATGATTATATATGAAGGGAGAGCCTCAAAGAAGGGTGCTGTGTGGCAGATCATCAGCCAGTTTCTCCTCCAGCTGAGGAAGACTACAGAAAGAGGTGGCCAGTGTAAGCTGCAAGCTACTGCCTACCACAAGCAATTACAGCAATTCTTCAATTTTGTGATGCCATCAGGTGGATAAATTCTGTAATGCAGCTTTGAATTAGAGCAGCAATTACCAAGCACATCAAATGAAAGAACATTCTCCTTGTCTCCAAGGATTTAGCTCCTGTCTATTCCTTCTAAAAAATCCCTTCAGAAGTGAAAAAGAGGCCAGTCGGCCTGAAGAAGGCCAGGAACACTTGCTTGCTTCCTATCTGCAATTTATAATCACTGTTTTTCAATGAAGAATTTCAATTAGAATTCATAATTGTATTTGTGTATCCCTACAACCTCTTATTCAGGTTTGTTTACAAATTCCTTTTGAAGGTGTTCCTCATTAGGAACAACCTCTAAAAATGCAAGGATGAAGATGTTTTCCCAGCATACCTACTGTAAAGGTAGCTCTGTCAACTGCATATCAAACCAATAATCAAGGACCCTTGCTTTAGTAAGGCCAGTCAATTGAGCTGGCTCTCTTGCTATGAGATACTGCAGCTCCAGTGCTGAGAAAGATTTAAGAGAAAAGAATTTCTGAACTGACTCTTTGAGACTTCTCTTGCAGTACAGCCTCCCCAGGAACAGAAATTTCATTGGTAACAAAGCCAGTTATTTAGCCAAACTGCTCTGCCAGCAGTTGTTAGCCTCATGTTGAAAAAAAGAAAGTAAGAGATACTTGGAAACAAAATGCTGCATGCCCTACAAAGACAGTGGGCTTCGGTGATGGCTTTTTTTTAATGCAACTGTGTGGTTACACTAAGATTATCTGAAAAACGTTCAATCAAACCAGAGCATAATGTGAACAAAACCCAGACCAGCTATGCAAGCCTGTAGTCTCTTCTGCTTGATGTGGAGAAAGAAAAGTTTGCATTTGTATGGCAGGATAATTCTATTAACTTTTGGCAAAGGCCAAAGCTAGGAATGAATCAAAAGGAACATACAGACTTTGGGTATAACATTCTTTCAAATCATCAGGTAACCTGAGGCTAAACTGTGAATCAAAACTTTTCATGGCCTTCTGCAAGGTCTAATGAGAAACTTTCCAGGCAGGAAAGAAGTAAAGACTAGCTGACTTTTCAGCATTTTCACTATTAAAGCACATACTGCCAATTCCAGTAAAGGTTTTGGAAGGAGTCTGAAAGCATTTTTAAAGTCCTGTTGGAGCTCGTATACAGTGTGATGTGAAGCACCTTCAAGTGACATTACTCATTTTAACTAGAGTAACTCAAACTAGCAATAAACAGATAGAAAATTTACCACTAATATTGAGTAAGATTGGGACAGGTCACCTGCTGAACATCCAGCTAAGTTCCTTGAATGCTTATACAATTCTCAGGATCTTTTCTTGGTAGTGACAATTCACAGTGAAGATGAAGCTACAGAAGAGGAATTTGCCAGTAGTGGTAGCGGGCATAAGTTCCAGAAAGAAAGTTACACTGAGGAATAGTGGTGATTCAACCCTGAGGCTGTCCTTTAAGGCCAAGTTGACTTTTGTAGTTGTCAACCACTGCACAATGTCTGTCACAGAAGAAATAAGCATACAAATATCTAAATTTCACCCAATTTCACATGGCATTTGTTGAAATCCAGAGTTCTTGCTGGTTTGCAGCTCTAGCAATGTATCCATTACTCATTTTATGATATACTGCCGCTGCCATCAGTACTGGTACAGATTTTATGTAGGGCATCATTGAGAAGCCCAGAGGGTACATCAAAGGTAACACTGTTTGTTGGGTTCATTTGCCTAGAAGAGTAGCAATATTTCACTGCTCTCCCAACAGATGGAGAAACAGCTCTCATTCAAAATCAGTGAACCAAAGTATCTTTGTTTTTCCTAGAAGCCATAGTGAAGCACATCACTCATCTCTTTATAAAGAATTATATTTAAATAGTCTCAATATATATAAGAGAAAAGAGGACTGCTTACGTCATCAAATCTGCACTAAAAATGAAGCCCCAAAATACCATGCAAGCATGTCATTGTGGCAGAGCTCCAAATGAAATCCTGATGGAAGTCAGTGGTTTGTTTCCAAAGGTACAAGGAAGGGTAGTAGTGGAAAAATATCCTGTTTCCTCTCAAAGTGATTCTCCTCATGTTGCACAAGGAATGTTCCTCTTCTTGTGTCAACTCCAGTGAATTTGATTTTGTAATTTCTAAGGGTGGGGGGATATCTCTCTCCACAACCCTCCCATCTCCACAGGCCATTTTCTTACACAGCAGTTTAAGCATTAGGGAGAGTCCCTTCCGGACTCATAGCTCATGAAGTTGGGCTGAGGATGTGCTAGCCCCTTCACTAGAGGGAGAAAGTTATTTCTGATCAGCCATTATTGATGGTGCAACCAGAATACATGCAGTACCAGATGTGATCCAAACTATATATGGAAAGAGCTCATACTCCCCCAAATCAGTGGAGTGCAGCAGCCCAGAGGGACATGTGAGTTTGGCTATATAATCAAGAAGCAGGAGGACTTGATATATATCTATTTTCTGTATCCTCACTTGAATTCCTGCGGCTCTCCAGCATCTAATTTTTCCACTTCAGACAAAAGAAAACAAATTCTGCAATTAATTCTATCTTACATGGATGCCAAAACTTAGTGAATGGAGCATATAGATTGGAACAAACTGATGGGCTTTGTTCTGAGTCTCTCCATCCCTGAAACGTCACCAATTATTTCTTGGCATTGCTACAATTGTTTCCTCACCAATCACTTTGTTTGCCAAGCGAATTGCTGCCTCAACTGTGTTTTCTTCCACAACTTCATCAACCAAGCCCAGTTTCAGTGCTTCAGTTGCAGGAATATGTCTTCCTGTGATAAAAAGAGAAATAAGGTGACTACAGTGGGGCATGATGGGCAATAAATGTGTAGCTGGCTTTAAATATTAGACATGTTTATTATCAGGTACATAAAATGCATTACTAACTACATGCCTCAGAAGCGTGTGCATCCATCCCTTAGCCCATCATTAGTGGAAGCTGGCTGAATTTCAACCTAAGCAGCTACACAGATAGAAGAAATTCATGTTTCTTAGACCAAGCTGGTGATATGACTATATTCCTATATACAGAGCAAGGCTGAGGCATAGTAATTTACCTGTAGTGATTATATCCAGAGCAGCTGGTACCCCAATCAGTCTGGGAAGTCGCTGAGTGCCTTCAGCACCTGGAAGTAACCCAAGGGTGACCTCTGGTAAACCCAACTGTGCCTAAAATGTCAAATTCAACAACAAATCTGATTAGAAAGAGTGATCACTACAAACTGAGCAGAATAGAGGAAAGACAAGCAAATCTGATTCACACATCGCTCCTTTAAGAAGCCTCAAAACTTCTACGTAGAAACTTCATCCTTGCTTTTTGCCACACAAGACATTAAGACAAAAGCCCACACGACCATTTCAACAACCTGTGTACAAATGCACAGGAAAGACACCAATTTTCAGGGGATGTATGTGCGCTAGTGCAGCACTGGAGGACAGCTGTGAGGCCAACAGCATCCCCCAGATTGACACATGTAAACTAATACTTTCAAGTTGTTACCAAATGCTGGTGAGCACTCTGATTTAACTATACCTCCCTGCTCTAATTCTTGGAAGTTTAGTAAAGGAAAATTGGTATTGAACCCTTCCCTAATCTTCCTTCAAATGGTTCTTTGTGCACTTAAAGGTTAGTAATGGCAGAGAAGCTGGGGCAGCAGTAAGGTGGAGTCTTCTCTTAAAAATCTATCTAGATTTTGTTGTTTCATTTAAAAAAAAAAAATAGCTTGCATATTTCCCATTGAGCTCCTAAGAGATGTGGAGTCATTTTAAGACCACTACTTGTGGTACACACCTTGGATGGCATATAAGGTGATGCAGACTACCTCTTTATGCTGTTACAGCAACCTACACTGTCATGGAGAAACAGTGATTTACATTGCAAGAGCGAGGGGATGGCCCTATCAGTGAAGAGTCTCTACAGGGATACCATGCACTGCTAAAAGGTAGCTCAGCATTCCCAAATCTTGAATGAAGGGTTCCAAGAAAACAAACTCCCCCAAAATGGTTCATTCCTCAAAAGACTTGTAAAACTGTCTTTTGGTCAGAGTGCTCCTTGAGGGCCAAGAGCTTAGGCAATCAAACTGTAAATGCTGTGTGCTCTCTGTTTCAATTACCTATTGAAACTAGGCCACTAGCAGAAAGAAATGCAAAATTCACATGGCTGGGTTAAAAGAAATAAGTAAGAGAAAGTCACACTGTATGAGCCAGTAAGATACAGCCATCTAAATCAGAATATAGACAATAACTCCTGAGACCTAGGGCAACTTAAGACTCAGTTACTGGAGTTTCTATGCTGCTGTCTTACTGTATTAGTTACAGATCAATTTTATATTTAGAAATGACTTGAAGTTAGTTATATAGTAAAGCATGTCAAAGGGGATACTGTAGGTGAAGAACGTCTGACCATGCAGACCTGTATCCTGTAGCTATAAAGCTCCACTTCTCCAGGCAGATGATCCCAGGAAAGGTATGCTGCCCCACCCTGTCCATAGCCATACGTACATGGCTCCTGACGCCTTCACCAGCCTCTCTGTTTCACAGTGTGTGTTACCTTCACATGTGCAATCCGATAGTGACAGCCAAGTGTTATCTCCAGGCCTCCTCCCAAGGCAATGCCTTCGATGGCAGCCACCACAGGCTTCTCACTCCTTTCTATGAGAGACACGATGGGGCCCAAGAAAGTACCATGGCTCCTTGGAGAAGAAAATCCTTGAATGTCAGCTCCTAAATTAGAATAGAGACATGAAGAAAAATTAGTGGGCAAGGCAGTGAGTGGAACAGTCTGTCCCCCTGTGCAATCAGAATTGCTCACAGATGATCAAGTCCTTGCAAAGGAGGCTGTTTGCAGGAGAGTGATTAACAGGAATCAGCCCCTTTTGGGACCACCTTCAAGAAACCCCAGCTCCTTGAGCCAGCTTGTTATGTGCCCCATGTCAATTGTGGCAGAGCAGAATAGAAAAAGCTCACTGTCCTGTGGCCATTTCCAGCCTAATCAGGACTTCTATCAGCAGTGTTATGAAGCAAAGAATCTTCAGACACAGTGGGTGTCTCCTCTTTTTCTCAGGCTGTATTTGATGGAACATGTTGTACCTGCACTGAATTTCCCATTTTCGCCACAAATCGTAACAGCTTTCACTGAAGGATCTGCATCTGCTTTCTTCAGGCCATCCTCTAATGCCTGGAGAACTGTCAAACTGAAAGAATTAGAGATTTGGTGAGTAACAGTTGAGTACCTTACCCTTCCAAGAGGTCTGTCATAAACACCGTTCCAGTGAAAATGAGCTGTATGTCCGAGCATATCTCTCCCCTAGCCTGCCTTCTGCCACAGCTTCTCTGTGTGAATCCTTTCATTAGTTCCCCACTTACTTTACAGCCAAGTGCCAAAATCCAACAAGTTTATTACTGCTGACCTGTCATTTACCTCCTGGAGGGTCATCTTCTGACTATGACGTTGCTGTTTCAAAAGTAAGCAGCACAGGGAAATGTTATTTTGAAAATACCTTTATGAATTAAACATTTAGATTTTCAGGAAAACAGTTTAGCATAATTTAAAGTTAATTAATGCTAAACAACTGACAATCTAAGACTTTTTTAAAAAGGGAAAGAAGCTCCAGGGATAAAAAGTTATCATCTTCCAAACACCTGACACAGAGTTGGTGCTATGCTGATGATTATAATGCTTTCTACCTTGTGGATCTGTTTATAGGTCCAGACTTAGAGTTGTGTGGGATCTTGACAAAGTGAATTTGGGCCTAAAACACTACATAAAATGTCTTCTTTTGTCTCACTGAATATATTTCCACAGACACAAGAAGGGAATATGGCCAGCAAAGAATTAACAACAAGCTTCAAAATGGAATAGTAAAAGTATAAATAGTATTTTTACAGATCAGGTATTCAAAAAATCTGACCTGACTTCATGCTCACCTCACTTTTGAAGCTTAGAAACTAATTTATGTGTACATGTGTGGGATGGATGGACATGGAGAGTATAGCCTGTTTTAGAAGACAGTGACAATAAAGACGATGGTAGGTAAAAATAGAAGCATTAAGACCTAACACTTTATTAGTAGAAATATTAATGCAAATTGTGTGTGTATCATAAACACACACTTGTATGTAAGTGTATATATAGTTTGTGTGACTTTCCTGTGTGCACATGTGAATAAATACTATATATGTAGATCTGATTCAGAAAATCCGAGCCACAAGGAGCTGGAAGCTGTGGAATATCACTGATGCTTGCCAGTCCTTTATAAATACAGCTTCTGCTCTTACATCTTCTGCAAACCATAAGCCCAGCTTGGTTGCATAAGCTTGGTTGCTACCATAAGCACAAGCTTGGTAGCTGACGCAAAGGGAGCAGAGTTCTGTTGGTGCCCAGTGGAAGGAGGAGTGTTAATTAAAATGAACTGATAGGAAGGCCTGACACATACTTAGTTTATGCATGATTTTAATATGTCTGAAGGCATTTAATCTAAAAAGGAAGCTTGTCATGAAGTAGATAAAAAAACCCATCACTGTACCTAAGTGTAATGCTTCTAGGAGTGTCCAGGGTGGGTTATCACATATTTGCACATACGTATGTGCAAAAGCTTGCAGCATGTAAGTGGAAATCCACAGACTGAAAAGGAAAATCTAGGGAGCCTGCGAAATGTCCTGTAAGCCAGCTGTGTTGGATCCTGCCAGACAACATCAGCATATTCCTCCTTCAAAATCAAAAATAAAGAGAAGCTGTTAGCAAAGTCTATTAATCAAGGCTGTTGGCTGTAGGGAGGTGTCCAACATCAGCTGCTGCCTGGTAAAGGCCATGCTACACAGAAGGATCAGTGGGAGCCCTGAGACCTGACAGCTAGAGACTTATTATTAAACAGGGGAAGATTATATTGGATATAAAGAGGAAGTTCTTTACTGTAAAGGTGGTCAAGCACTGGAATGGGTTGCCCAGGGAAGCTGTGAATGCTCCATCCCTGGCAGGGTTCTAGGCCAGGTTGTACAGGGCCTTGGGTGAGATGGTTTAGTGCGAGGTGTCCCTGTCCATGGCAGGGGGGTTGGAACTAGGTGATCTTAAGGTCCTTTCCAACCCTAACTATTCTATGATTCTATGTATCAACTGCTTCATCCAGACATCAAAGACAACTCTGAGGTCTAGCATTAGTAACGGTTCTGAAAGCTGAAACTTAAAATGAGAATAATTTGGCCATGACAAAGAAAAACTGTTAGGTGACCTGGTAAAGGTCCTTCCAGTGCATATAGTTCTGTGTAACAGAATATGAAAGCCTTTCCAATTCTAATATATGGTTTCATATTCTGTGGGAGAAAAAAATACGTATTAAAATTTTGGATTTTATCTCCCTTTGGAATATCAAGTGCAGTGGCTGCTGCTATTTGACAAGGACCCACAGGCTGCACCCAGTGCTTGCTGCTCTTAGAGGTCTATTTTTGCACCAGTGGAGGGCCAGGCCCCAGAAATACCAAATTCACCTAGAGGCTGGAAGCTTAAAGGGAAAACCATTATGAAATGTCATTACACTTTATAAAACCAGCTCCCCCATGTATACCATTCTGGCTGCAAGAAAAGTGATTCTGCCAAGATGATTCAGTGCTAGTTATCAGAAACAAACCTCAGGTGCTGTTAAAGAACATCTGCACACCAGGGTAAGAAAATATTCTTGTAAGTGACCACACCATGCTTTTATTTTGCATAAATCTCATTGCAGTGATGATGTGCAAAATTTGTAACAAGGTTTTATTATTTACCTGAGTAATTTCAGATTTTAGATAGGACTTGTGAATGTTTGAAATGAATTACTTTCATTAAAAAATAAAAAAAAAAGGAAAAAAAGAGTAATTTTAAAGGAATTAAAAAAATTTACTTAGTCACCTTTAAAGAAGTGAGACGAATCCAACAGTAGAAAATGCTATCTATGGAAAACATGCAGGTGTGGTCCTTTCCTCTTGCACTTCCCCTAACATCCACAATCACTGCATTGGGAATGTTGCTGCATACGCCTATGCACGTTCTTTTCAGCACCCCTCATACACCTGCTGTCCATGAATTTGCCTAATCCCTTTCTGATTCTGCTGATCCATCTGTCTCCACAGGCTGCTGTGGCAGCAAGCTCTGTATTATCTGTTTTAAAACAATCTCCTACTAGTTTAATCAAATACCCCTAGTCCCCTAGTACAACTGCTGCAGGATTTGGTTGCCTTTGATTTATTTACTTTCTTCGTGATTTTGTAAACCTTGACCTTATTCTCCCACACCTTTTTCCTCTCCAAACTGAAGACTCTCAGCTTTTTCAGTCCACTTGCTTCATGCAGTGAACCATCCCCCTTGGCTGTCCCTTTTTGGTTTGTCCCTATATCTGTCTGCAAGTGCAAAATCCAGAACTACACAGAACAGTTAAGATGGTTAATATTTCAGAAAAGGGATGTCCTCTGCTTTGCTTCCAATGGTGGCCAATATTCTGTGGTCTTTTCAGGCTACCCCAGCACATTGAGCTGATCACATAACTATCAAAGCTAAGGCTCCCTTCCCTGAGCTGTAATTGCCAGTTTTGATCTCAGCATCCTGTAAGCTTGTCCTGGGTTATATTTTTTTATTTGAAGAATTTTTGCTACTGTTTTTTAGCATGTTTTGATCCAGTTTTCATATTTTTCTAGTCTTATTTTCCAGTTTGCATTTCTCCTGTCAAGTTTTACAGGCTTTTTTGTCCTCCTCATTTGAGTAAGCTTTCCACTTCTTAAAAAAAAAACTTTTTCCTTATTTGTCTCAGCTTTCTCATCAAGCCATGGAGGACTTCTACTGGATCATTTACTGGCTGAACAGTTTGCCTGGGCTTCTAATAAACTTTCACACCCCCTCCAAAATCCAAACCCAAACATCAATCCACCCTCCACCCTTGTTGCAGGCTTCTTGTCTGTTGGACAGCTTCTTGCAGTGTTTCTGTTTGAACTAACTGATAGGTATTCACATAATTCTCTTCTTGAAATTGAGTACTCCTGTGCTGGATTTACCTGGTCTGCTCTCTCTTCCCTCAGCTTCAGATCCAGCTGTGTAGTAGTTGGCTTGAATGGAGTCATGCACGTAAATTAAGGCCAAACCCAGAATGACATCCTTTCTGTGGGGTTTTAGAATAGTTGTTCTAGGAAGCAGACATGTACTCCATCTAAGAATTTTCTTTCTGCATCTCATCCTGATGAGATGCTGATCCAGTCCAACACAGGTTATCACACATCACTGCAACCTATCTGAAGTTGCAGCTTCTCTTATCTCCTTTGTATGTTCTGATCATTATGCTGATCTGGGGTCAGAAGGACAATTCTGGCAGCCAGGGAAAGCCTTTTCCAGTCATGACTGTTACACTGTTACACTTTATATAATCTCACATACACTTCCTATCCCATGTCCCATCTTTTCAGCTCTGGAGCTTTTCTACACTTGCCAGCTCAAGTGTTGAAATCCTCTTCCACACCCTTCTTCATTTTCAGTGCAGCAGCCTGCCTCTGTTAATAAGGTGTGGCTGGTCCTTTCTCCTACAAGTCTTGCATATCTGTTCCCCAAAATTTCCCAGTTCTTGATATATCTAAATCTCTCCTCTCTATGCCATGGTCTCATAAATGCAGATCTCTGAATACTAAACTTCTCCAAACTAGTTTAAAAAAACACCTCCAAACAAATCACATTTGGCACATGCCACCTCTGCTGGTGGAGGGAAAGATCAGCTTGGAGAGGAGTCAATCTGGGAGCCAAATTTGCTGTAGATTCACAAGTCAGCATATGCTCCTCAGGAGCGTATGCCCTGGAGGTATTTGCACAGCAGTGGATGGTGTCAGACATGAGAAAGCTAATTCCTACCCATCGGTGGATATTAAGTACTAATGGCCAGTGTGATGGCCTGGGGCTGGGAAAACAGCACCACAAAGAATGGGGAGAGACAGGTGAGGTTTGAGTACAGCAGCAAAACCTCACCAGCATTTTAGAAAGCATCTGTGCCTGCTGTGAAATTAAATTTTCAGGATTGCAGGAAATGGCTCCTGTCTGTAGCTTTCACTGCCGGCTATCACCTACCTAGTCAGACATTTCCAACAGCAATCACAAACCTGCTCCCCTACTGTCCAGTACATAAAGTATGCAGCAGCAGGAGGAACACACAAGGATCAGAGTACTCTACCTTTCCTAGCTATACCCAGGTCTCAGCTAAAAACTACCGGATGGCCAGTATGAGATAATTATGGATACCTTCTAAAACAGGTATTACCCTGACATGATCAAAGACCACAGGCGTGTATCATGTTATAGTTTCATAGCAGCTTACCTGTTTTAAATACACGCTGTGCAGGCTCCCAGCCTTCCCCACGTACTCCTACTCAGTCCCTTGTGCCAGCCATGCTCCTTGTGCAATTGCACAAGGAGCTGACGGCGAGAGTTAGACTGGCTGAAAACCAATCTAAACCAGCCTGCTGGTGTTCAGCCACATTTGCTTGCTGCCAGCCCCAGGAGCACCAATGCTAGCAGAGCAGAAGCTGTGAGGACACATGGCACAGCATGACACAGTCCTACCTTAGGTTGTGCTATGGTGCTACAGAGCTCATAACAAGGGAATGAGCCTACTGGGTGCAGTAAGTACTTGGGTCTCTCTGGGGCCTTTGTGCTGTGGGACTGTCAGCAGATAAAAGTGTGTGGGCATCACGATATGTCTGGGGGGGGGGATTGAAGGTACAGCACTCAATGGAAACTGCCTTTTTAATGAATCTGAAGTCTGCCAAGCTCTTCCTTCTCTCTCCTGGGGTTGGGGGACAGGACCAGGACCACACCGTCTGTTACCCTTGGTTTGTCAGAATTGAACCCTGCTGTGAGGTCACTGAGAGTTGAAGAGTAACGGGTAGGAGAGGCAGGGGTCTGTTCTGAAGAGGCTGTTGCACAGCTGCATGCTGTTGCTGTTTGAAGGCAGAAGGCAACTTTCGTGTCCTCTCCAGGATTTCTCAAAAGAGGCAGAGTTGAGGTTCCTTAAGCACATATATGTTACTGTTAACAGTTGCACTTGATGATCTTAAAGGTTTTTTCCAACCTAAGTGATTTTATGATTCTTTATCTCTGCATTTCAGTTTTTCCTGGTAAGGATGGAAAGTTTATTGTGGGCACAGCCTGGAAGTTTTCTTAGGCTGGTCTTGGGCACAGGAGGTCCAAGGGATTTCTTGCACCCTGCAGTTCTGGGATTCAGTTCAGCCAATCTCATCAAATCACTCCAAGTTTGTTTTCTCATCATAATTATCTCAGCACGTGAAAAATGATCTTATTTCCCTTGTAAATGTGTTGCAACCAGGGGGTAAGCGTTGCCAGTTACAGCAGAACAATGTAGCTTGCTACAGAAGAGCAAGTTGCATTTCCTATTCATGCTGTTGTCTGTTTTGGCTTCTCTTTAACAAACTTTCTGCTTACAAGTTGAGCATCAATGCAGAGGACTTTTTTGGGGCTTGTGAATATACATTGAATAGACACTATGGTCACTGTTGCAGAACAGCTCTTCAACTACAGCTGCTTAGAAAGGATCTATGTGCTACTCAGAACTAAATAAACTAAAATGCACATTACAAGAAATAATGTAAAATAAAAAAAATCATGTTTGTTCTTTTCAAAGCACATGAAAAACTACAATTTCAGACGCTCCTATAGATTGGTGTTTGTCTTGTCACTGACTCATGTTTGAAATCACTTGAGCCCTTTCTTGACCAAGATCAGTATTTAGAGGTCAATTCCTTAATCATTTTTAAACAGCAAATGAACTGTCTTCGCTTCTGATAGCCTTTAACCACGGTTTAATCCTGGTGCCAGATCCTCTTGCTGAACCATGTCTGTTACCTACGAAGCCCTTTGTCCTAACCTCTGTGCTCACTTGGATAGCGCAGGGACTTGCCAAGCCGGTACATGGAGCATGTGGGGCAGGCAACTACAACAGTAGCAAACGGGTGAGGAAAGGCTGGTTTTCACCTACGAGCTCTGAAGGAATGTCAGGGTGAAGCAGCTGAACTGCTAACACTGCTGAGTGCGATTTTTTGCTGGAAACATCATCTTGATGTTTAAAGACGAGAAACACACTGAGCTTTCGAACAGCTTCCAGGGAGGATGACAGAAAGTACAGACTGGTGAGCCTGACACCCTCCTTGAAAAAAAAACAACCGAAGCCGACTAGAAATCATTACAAAGTGCAGAAGTCATGGAAAAGTTCAGCATGGTTTCTGCCAAGGGAGATCTAAGCTCTCTCTGAAGCAGGTACCCGAGTGGTGTTTGAAGCCGCTCGTCAGAGGCTTTCAGGGGTGCCTGCCCTGCGGCCAGGAGGGGCCTCACACCGACAAGGAGAGGCGGGCCGTTAGGACAAGATGAAGTCAGTCAGAGAACCCCCCACCCCTCTCACCACGGGAGGGCCAGCCACAGGACCGAGCCTGCGGCCGCTCCATACCCATGGCCCCTGCCCAGGCGAGGAGCGGCGGGACCGGCCGCCGCAGGAAATGGCAGGCGCCCGGCGTTACCTCAGCGCGTTGACAGGCGGGTTGCGGAGCCGGATGACGGCCACGGAGGCAGCACCCCTCGTGTACTGCGCCATGACGAACTCTCCTCCCTGTCCCCGCCGCCCGGGCACGCCGCCCGGGTACATCACCCTGGCCGGGCTCCGCCCTCAGCCAGGCCAGGGACGCCCACAGCGCCCGATGCTGCTCCCAACCCAGCGGCGGCGCGGCCCTGGCCCGCAGGGACCCGGTGGCTCTGCCCGGGGTTTAGTGTGCACTTTCCTTCGAGTTACGTAGCCACGGTCTCCTCGGCCATTACCTTTGCAACACTCAGTTTAGTGCAGCGGGGAGATTTAGGCTGGTTATTAGGAAGAAGCTCTTCCCTGTGAGGGTGCTGAGGTGCTGGCACAGGTGCCCAGAGAAGGTGTGGCTGCCCCATCCCTGGCAGTGTTCAAGGCCAGGTTGGACGGGGCTTGGAGCAACCTGGCCTAGTGGAAGGTGTCCCTGCCCGTGGCAGGGGGTTGGAACTGGATGAGCTTTAAGGCCCCTTCCAACCCAAACTATTCTGTGATTCTATGATATAGTCAGCTCTGACACATTGTAAAATCTTACTCAGAAAAATACCAGTTTGTAACAACCTAGAAGGTAGGGGGAAATAAATAAACAAATAAATAAGTTGTTTCTAATATTACAAAATATGTCCTTCACACAAAAAAAAAGTAATTTTAGGGAGAAAGAAGGTTCTTTGGAGGGAAAATTCCTGGCTGTTGAATGACTTTTTACATGGATCTACTGGTGTCTGGTTGTCCTGCCCTGTGACCATCCCCTATGCAGCTATTCCAGAAGCAATGCAGAAAACACAAGGATGCTTCCAGTCTGTGCTCTCACAGTGCTGGGTAAGAGACACATCAGAGTTGATCACAGAACAGCATGAATCCCCCAGTAACTCCTGCGGAAAAAAAGCCATCAACCACACATGGTGCTCACAGGTATGAGTGTGTAATGAGGCCTGTCTTTCCCTATGGACTGTAGGCTGTTGGTTCAGTCTATGGGGTGAGGTGTATTTTGTCCTAGCTTGCTGTGGAATGTGATCTTTGCTTGAAACGTTTTTATGTCTCTACAATCTCTCTTTTCTATCTCTTGGCCTTTAAAAGTCAGCCATGGGGCAGAATGGCTACAGCTCCTTCCCCTGGTCTGGAATAGGTGTAGATAATTTTAGAACTTGATTTATGTCTATGGAAAAGTCTGTATGAACATGTAGTCTTCACTCATAGCAACTGCTGCCTTTATTGTTACTGCTGTTGTGATGGATCCCTGCAGCTCTTCTGTCACTTGTTATGTAAAAAAAACCCAAACCCAACACAACAACCAAAACCAGGGACAATACTCTGCAATTCGCTTGTAAAACAGTGTGTTTGGGGAGTTTATAAAAATAGGTAAACTGTTCCTTGGAGGGCTAACTGGCCTGGTGTGTTTTTATTAACTGTAATAAAATCAAAGATCACTCTTGAGTTGTACTTTCTGTTTATTATTTACAGCTTTATTTTACTTGTCCTTTTATAACACAACTGCTGTAGTAGTGACAAAACAGGGCACTTCTGAGCACGAATAAACACAGAAGAAAACAGGTCTCAGGAAAAGACATTTCACAGGGAAAAAAAAAAAAAGAAAAAGAAAAAAAAGAAAGATTTAAAAAATTGTGGCAAAGCTCCAGTAAAAGTGTCAGGTTTATTGTTGTAAGCCATATATGCTTTTTTCTCCTTAAAGACAAATGGAGTTTGGTAATGAGAAGAAGTGTGTTTAAATGTATACAGCAAAGGAAATTAAAGTCTTCAGAGCTTTGTCCTGTGCTGAATTGTACAGGACCAAGTGCAAAGGCCTGAGCTTAAATGCAACTCTCAGTCCAAAGGAGAAGGTGAGTACATGGGCATAGGTCCCAGATTAGGCTCCTTCCTGTTTTTAACTCTCACAGTCTGATCCAAGCCAATGCAGGTCTGCTGTATCAGAGATGATCTTGAGCATAGGCAACCATGGGAGGGGATTGCGGTTGCAGAGCCAGTTGGTGCACTTAACCTTGACAAAATGTAATCAAGATGGTTAAGCTTCTTTTTTATAAGCTTTTGAGCAATTCACCAAAAGCTTGTACAGGTTTCTATTTTTTCTATATTTCTATTCTTGTACAGTGCTTCTATTCCTAAAGCCGTTCTGCAAGGGGCAGGGCTCTTCCCTGCCTGGCAGCTGTTGACTGTGAAACCACAAGACATTGTGGAATCTTCCTCTAGCCCTAGGCCTGCCAAAAGAAATGATATCTTGCTATATGAAGAGAAATATAACTAAAAGTGACTGTCTAAAGTTGCTCATGTCTTCATCCTCTTCTAGGGGATAGCTGTACTAGCTGTCTGTACTAGCTGATGCCACTTCTGAAGTGAACTATGATTATGACAGAGGCTTAACTTTGTGTAAGAAAGTTTGAGGAGTAATGAAAGGCTTGCTTTCAACAGGACAAGGCAGGTAGGTCATGGATATTCCTCTGCGGTTGTCCAGTTTTGTCATCCGTTTGATTACTGGGCTTTTGACTACTGTGTAGTAGAGAATAATGCTCAGTAAATATAGAATCATAGAATAATTTGGGTTGGAAAGGACCTTAAGATCATCAAGTTCCAGCCCCCCTGCCATGGACAAGGATGCCTCACACTAAACCATGTCACCCAAGGCTCTGTCCAGTGTGGCCTTGAGCACCTCCAGGGATGGAGCATTCACTTCCTTAGCAACCCATTCCAGTACCTCACCACCCTTACAGTAAAGAACTTCCTCCTTATACCCAATCTAAACTTCCCCTGTTTAAGTTTTAACCCGTTACCCCTTGTCCTATCACTACAGTCCCTAATGAAGAGTCCCTCCCCAGTATCCCTATAGGCCCCCTTCAGATACTGGAAGGCTGCTGTGAGGTCTCCACGCAGCCTTCTCTTCTCCAGGCTGAACAGCCCCAACTTTCTCAGCCTGTCTTCATACGGGAGGTGCTTCAGTCCCCTGATTATCCTCGTGGTCCTTCTCTGGACTTGTTCCAACAGTTCCATGTCCTTTTTACATTGAGGACACCAGAACTGTACACAATAATACATATTATGTATTATTATATGTATTATTGTATTATTATATGTACATATACCTGGGGCCCATTCCAGCTCTGGAGAAAGGCAAGGCTTCTCAAAATGGCAATATTAAATCCTTAGAAACTCCATTATTAGAAGTGAAAGTGAAGGATTATTCACCAAAGGACCACTCGGTGGATAAAGAACTGGCTGGATGGCCTCACGCAAAGAGTTGTGGTCAATGGCTCAATGTCCGGCTGGAGGCCAGTAACGAGTAGTGTACCTCAGGGATCGGTGTTGGGACCGGTCTTGTTCAACATCTTTGTCGCTGACATGGACAGTGGGATTGAGTGCACCCTCAGCAAGTTTGCCGATGACACCAAGCTGTGTGGTTCAGTTGATACGCTGGAAGGAAGGAATGCCAACCAGAGGGACCTTGACACAATTGTGAGGTGGGCTAATGCCAGCCTCATGAAGTTTAACCATGCCAAGTGCAAGGTCCTACACCTGGGTCAGAGCAATCCCAGGCACAGCTACAGGTTGGGCAGAGAAGAGATTGAGAGCAGCCCTAAGGAGAAGGACTTGGGGGTGTTGGTTGATGAGAAAATGAACATGAGCCGGCTTCAGTGTGCGCTTGCAGCCCAGAAAGCCAACCAAATCCTGGGCTGCATCAAAAGGAGCGTGACCAGCAGGTTGAAGGAGGTGATCCTGCCCCTCTACTCTGCTCTTGTGAGACCTCACCTGGAGTATTGTGTGCAGTTCTGGTGTCCTCAACATAAAAAGGACATGGAACTGTTGGAACAAGTCCAGAGGAGGGCCATGAGGATGATCAGGGGACTGGAGCACCTCCTGTATGAAGACAGGCTGAGGAAGTTGGGGCTGTTCAGCCTGGAGAAGAGAAGGCTGCGTGGAGACCTCACAGCAGCCTTCCAGTATCTGAAGGGGAGCTATAGGGATGCTGGGGAGGGGCTCTTCATTAGGGACTGTAGTGACAGGACAAGGGGTAACGGGTTCAAACTTAAACAGGGGAAGTTTAGATTGGGTATAAGGAGGAAATTCTTTCCTGTTAGGGTGGTGAGGCATTGGAATAGGTTGCCCAGGGAGGTTGTGAATGCTCCATCCCTGGCAGTGTTCAAGACTAGGCTGGACGTAGCTTGAGTGATATGGTTTAGAGTGAGGTGTCCTTGCCCATGGTAGGGAGGTTGTAACTAGATGATCTTAAGGTCTTTTCCAACCCTAACCATTCTATGATTCTATGATTTCAAGGAATGTGAATGTTGTGCTTTGTCTTCCACACCCCTCAGAATGTGCTGTGATAAAAGGAAAAGAATCCTGCTTCTTCCTGAGCCAGAGCAACAAGAGTCTGTCAGGTCTCCTGGGATCATCAGCCTTAGGAATCATCAGGAAGTGAAGGATACGAACAAGTGCTTTATTTATAGGAGGCTCAGCTTATTTTTTATTCTAGTATATCATTGCTGCAAGGTGTTTCAGAAGATGCAGCTTGATTTCCTATAAACCTATTCACACAGAACAACAATTTCTGGAAAATTATTATCTGACTAGTTGCACAAAACATGTCAATTCCTGACCCCAGAGGCATTTGAAAAGGAGGGTCTGCAGTGGTGTTCCAGCTGTAGAAGTATTTCTGCTGAAATTATGTCTGAGGAATATGGAAGTTCTAACTAGCTGCAGAATCCGTGCTGAGGTTTTGTGGTAAAACTCGTGGTCATGGTGCTGGGAAGTGTGGGAGCTCTGAAAACTTACTTGTTCTTGACAGCAGTGGGTCCAAACACCAGACTTGATTTACACTCTGCTGTTGAAAACAATGGCTTGTAGAGGCCAGTTAAATTCACCAACAACTGTTTTCTGCTTTCCCTTTTACAGTTATGACTTTCAAATTTTATATATTATATATATTTATTTAAAAGAAATTATTTGTTGTAAAAAGAGCTGTGGATCTCCTCACATCTGTAATCTTTCATCTGGCATGCTGTTCTCTGATCCTGGGTAATACCTTAAACTGTGCTAAAACCCAATATTGGTAAA